TAACCTGGCCTCGTCAGAACAATACTCGAGACTCAGTGAGAAGGGGGAATACCAATATGTGTCTGGAGTGATGGGAATAGCCTACAATCCCTTCTTAGACTCGGAAGCTGGAGGAGCCCACAGAAACCATGAGGTAGCGGAGCTACTGAAGTTTTGGACAGAAAGGATAATGGAGATAGACGCAGTGGAGAAAGAGGGGCCGAGCCTGGGCCTGATTCTTGAGAAAACACCAGAGGTGATAAGCATACCGCGCTCAAACAAGAGAGTTGAAGTGAACATGGGCGGTGGAAATGGCTTGTTAACCACGAACTTGGGAGTGATATGGAAGCTACTAAGACCCTCCTGGTGTCCACATCCCCATGCGAGTCTAATCGAGGAAACCACCGAGCGAGTGAGGTTAGCCCCAACGGAAGATGAAGATCTGGCGAAGTTGAGTGTGCTACATAAGCTAATCACACCCCAGATGCAAGAACCAAGCGAAAGGACGAGCGACCCCGGGTCAACAAAGAAATTGGAGCCGGGTAGCTGTCTGGATTCGACGTGTGGGAACGGAGAGCACATCTGCGATGGACGGTCATGCGTCAGAATACTGTCGTTTCAAAAAGAAGATCTGGTCACTTGGTTCGAAGACATCACAGAAAGGGAGAAAAGTGAAGTGCAAATAATAGCGGAATGTTACGCGAGAACCACGGTGAATATAGCGACAGCTCTCGGATTCTTCTCGAGAATGTGTGATCTGCAGGCACTGGAGAGACTGGAGTCTGAGCATCATTTAGTGACGGCGTTGAGCGTAGAATCATGGCCCGGGGTGTTGCAGGTGACTCAAAAACACATCCGGAGCTGGAAGGTTGGTCTTGAGGCGGAAATGGGATTTCCCTTGAGCGAAGCTTATGGCTTGCCATTGAACGCGAAGTCGCTGATAGGGTCAATGATGGCCAACTTGTGCGGAAGTCACTACCCGCTACACATGGCGATGGTGGAAGTGTCCAGCCAGAGAATACTGGTGGACAAGGCCTTCTCAGTGCCCAAGTGCGTGAGGTTGGCTCGGATATCGCATCACTCGCACAAGTTGTTGAGAAAAATCAAAGGGACAGTACCAAAAGAATTGAGAGATGACTTGAGCGAAATCTGGGGAGAAGATCTTCTGAAGTTGGAAAGAGAAAACACAAGCGATCACGAGAGACAAAACGTGATCGGGAAACCTGTGGGAAGTACTCCAAACCTGGAAGACAATGACACGATGCACGAGAAAATGATGGAGCTTGAGCCTCTCTTGGAAGCCTCAGGGGAGCGTAATCTCAGGAGCATTGAGATCTCTCATGGGGAATGCCCATGCCACTGTTTGGCACAAACGGTGTGGTATCCAGATCACAAGAACCTTTGCCTGGTGTGGGATGTGGAAGAGATTCGGTCGATCGGACTGCCGGATCACCGGCAGAAGGTGACGCTCTTAGTAGTGAGCACGATGTTAGCTCTGAGATGGATAGAAGAGAATATAACGAAGTATCGGGAGGCGACGACACCAACGGCTGAGTCAATATACGCGATAGACTACAGCAGGAGACTTGAGTTGTTTGAGACTGCGTGCAAAGTATTCGCCATACCAACGGAAGTCAGGCACGTATGGAGTCGCTTGAGGTACTTTCCATGGTTTCGGGCGACACTGACGTCTTGGTTGTACAGGGCAACGAAAGATCACATGAGAAAACATCAAAAGGAGTATCGACAGTTCCAGGCCGAGATTGGGCCGGAAGCTTTCAAGAGACCCCTGCTAACCCATCGTAATGCGATCACGACGGGATGGAAGAGAGTGGGTAAGATGTCTAGAGACAATACCAAAGCAAGGGAGTCGATACTAGAGGAAGACCTGGCGAAGAACGTGAGCTTGAGCCTGCACAACTCCTTTTGTTTGAACCGAGAAGCTAGGGTGAAGGCACTACCCAACCAGGCAAAGAGATTGCAGGAGCAGAGAGAATGGATGCGATCTTATGAACAACTGAAGGCTTGGGAGGAGATTGTGATTAGTTCCGATGATGAAGAGGAACTGTTGAGACAGTTTGCCGCATCTAGCACTTCAGGATGCAGTACATCCAAGGCGAAGAGCACGAGGTGAATGGGCAAATCGGATGGATCTTGAGTCTTGAGAGGGAAGGGGGGCTTGAGTGTGAATCCGAGTGAAACTTGGATTCACGAAAAAGAAATTTTAACAAAGTAAATATTGTTACTAATATACTATATCTATTATATAAATCGAAATGCTGCATGACAATTTCCTGATTGAATAGGACAAAAGAATTTTTAAAATGATTGGCTTGAAAAGCGAAAAATTCAAAGGTGCAGGTAAATGCAGATTTTGATTGCTGTTTAGCAATAGTGTGAAAATTTTAAATGGTCGTGAATTTTGGGGTGTAGATAATCTTAAATCTGCTGCAAACTTCTGTAAATGACCACTGGCACTGTATCTTGAGCAACACTCGGTTTTTCTGGGACTCACTGGCAGAAGACAGCGCGCGATGAGGACATCGATCTCGAGTCCGGGGAGTATGTGCCAGTCGGTCATATTTGGAAGTTTGACCTTGAGAAGAGCAGAAAATACTTGATTTTGGAGAGAAATTTTATTTTTCAAAAATTCGAATGGAACATGTCATGCACGATTTTCTCGCGACAACTGAAAATCAGAAAAAGAAATCAGAACAATTTTAGAGCAATTGCGGGAAAGTTAGAAAGTAAAAACGAGTGGGAAATTGCTATTCGCAATTTCCATCTATATATAATCGAGAGTAGAGCTGTCCTACTTGAAATAGAAGACAGAGTATCCCCGAGAGAGCGATTACTAAAGTTGGACCAGAGTGAACCTTCAGCGGAAAGGCGGACAACTGGAGTGTCCCAACGGTCCAAGAGAACTCAAATTCTAGAGCATGAACTTATCCTTGCTGTCCAAACTATAAAACATTAAACTTCTCTTAGTTATTTATTTCTTGAGTTAGTTACTGACTGGATTATTTTCCCAATTCTTGAGCGTGCTGCTATGTGAGTACAAATTTAATTTCTAGAGTGTGTTTTGTGATTGTTATGTTGAGGTAAGGCGAGTTTTAGGTTGATCCATCTGAAATGGATCAAAGTCACACTGTCTAATAAAAAGTAACCTAACGGATTGTTCCAACCCGGTTTTTAACGGCGTTCATGTATTTTGGGTATCTAGAGACCTAAGTATGGGGACGTTTCTAATTCTAGAGTGGGGGGATATTTTAGTAGTAGCCTTTAAGCTGTAACGGGTCGTAGTCTCATGTCATAAGCGAACCGAACTGGCTCCGACCGTTCTTGAGGTGGGAAAACACAAGAGATAGTGTCCCTGACCCTTGAGCCAGTGGTTATAGGGCCTATTTTTCTTAAGCCTCATGTGTGACTGCAGTAGACGAATGTTACATAAACTGGGAAAATTGACAGTTCTAGCAGAATATCTATACTAATCTAACGATTCAACGAATCAGGAATGGTCAGTTTGGCCTGAATTAATAAATTTCAAAAATTCGTTTTAAAATAAAGACACGTCACGACCTTGAAATTTCGCCACAACTGAAAAAAGGAAAAAACAGAACAACAGTATTCGTTGAAATAGACTAAGTGAACGACAATCGTACGATGCAAAATGAAATTGCAATTGAGTTTATTGTTGGAAGACCAGTCCGAGTTAGAACGATAGTACCTGTACAATTGTTAATGAAGATTTACCGAGAAACAGGAAGGGTATTGGGACGACTTTACCAGCGTTCCGGAAGGACGACAAGACCGCTCTTCGTCCGGATTACAGAATCCGGAAGGTTCTCGAGAAGAGAACTCAGACTCTGTTTTAACAAACTTTTAGCTTCCTGGAATGTCCTGAATTGAATTAATAACATCTGAATTCGTTTTCAGATAATGAGAAGCTAGGAGTTGAGGGGAAGGGTTGATCCAACTCCGATGGGAATGATGATTTTGTCTACTGAACAAAAACAATCTTAATATAATAAATAAGTAGTAGCCCTGTTTTTAGGAGTTACCTCGTGGTCTGGGGATACTGAGACCCAGCCATGAGCTCACTATTTTTGCATGTAACTGAGTTAATCTGAGGGTTCTGACCGAAGCCCGAAACAGTAACGATTTTGTCGACCCGATTTTAAGAGGACCACACAAATAACTTGCTTTGGTAGAGACGGTTCAAAGCATGTAGAGCTGTGTTAAGACGCTAGCCAGTCGTTTTACAACCTATCTTTGTTTTTCGTTGATATGTACTTCCAGGCGAATGTTACATTTTCCATGGCTGTTTTGTTGTTTCTTTCCTTTTTTATCGACTTGATAGGTTTTGAGCCCCAATTTTATAGGTTTAATGGCCTCATATTGTGTTAATGAAGAGTGAAAAATTTGTATGTGCGGTGAGGGGGAGCGGGACTTGATCACTTTTTTCCAAGTCTCAATGATTTTTTTTCTGCCAAGGTATTCGCCAAGGTAGGATTTCTGCCAAGGTATTCGGCTTTGTTACCGCTTGGTTATTTTTTTTTTCGTTTCGAATATCACATTCTTTTGTCCCGGCACGTTGTTGTTTCAAAACTAGCCTGATTCATTTTGATAGCCGAACATTGATGCGGTCGAGCGCACAGGCAAGACTCGAGAGGGGGACAAATAGCGGCAGGTCGAATGGAATTATCGATTGGAGGCGACTCATCAGCGTAACGTGCCATGCTGTTTGGAGACACTACGAATTTTATTTGCGTGCTGGATGGATGCTCAAAATGTTGATCCAAGTTGCTTTTGAAGAGAAATGATACAGTTTGCTGATATATATGCATTTTTATAACGCTGGTATGGCTCTATCCAGCTTGTGCACTTACCGTAACTAAACGGAAGGGCCTCTTTTGTAATTTAGCTTTTTTTTGAAGAGTAAAAATACAATAAAAAACTTAGCGGCTTTCTGGTTTTGTTTTGCAAGTGTTGCGAAGCGCAGCTTCGCCTTTGTCTTCAATATTTCACTTAGACCCACGAAATAATCTGATTTTAGGAAGAAAATGGCACCTTCGAAAAAGACCGCTGCTGCCCCTTTAAAAGACTCCAAACGGACAAATGTTAACAGAGACATTAAAATTCTGAAGCTCTGCTTGAATATCTGCGTCGGCGAAAGCGGTGACAGGTCAGTCTAGCATATTAGCTGGAACAATGAGGAAATTGTTTTTCCACGATATCATTTTCCTAATTTTTTTCTGCGTGTAATAACGATTGTTTCGCATCCAAGTTAAAGAAAAAAAATTGATCATTCAAATCTTTGTTCTAAGTTGTTTGTAGTATAACAAAGCGATGAAAGCGTTTTGATTGCAAGTTTCTTTTCCCAGGCTAACGAGAGCATCAAAAGTGTTGGAGCAGTTGACTGGTCAGACCCCGGTATCTTCCAAGGCCAGATACACTGTGCGATCATTCGGAATCCGCAGAAACGAAAAGATTGCTGTTCATTGCACAGTGCGCGGCGAAAAGGCAGATGAACTTTTGGAGAGAGGACTCAAGGTGAAGGAGTACGAATTGAGAAAAGGGAACTTCTCCGATGCCGGAAGTTTTGGATTTGGTATCCAGGAACACATCGACTTGGGCATCAAGTACGACCCAGCCATTGGAATCTATGGTATGGACTTCTACGTGGTGTTGGGTCGTAACGGTTATTGTGTCTCCAAGCGAAGACGATGCAAGAACGTCATTGGCGTGCAACATCGTGTCAAGCGAGAGGAAGGCATGAAATGGTTCCAGCAGAAGTATGATGGTGTCATCATGAATTAGTTTGATCTTTAACATCGAATTGATATCTGCTGATCATTGTTTTAGAAACTCCTAAAGCTTAGCGAGATTTTAGAATGCATGAGTAAAGCCATAAATGATAACAATTTCCTGATTAAAATATCGTTTTCAGTGTTGAATGTCTATGAGTACTTGAAATTCAGATGAACGGTGATCACAGCATTTCGACATGTGTTCCACGTGAACCAGAGGATATTCACGGGGACGGAAGATGGTTGGCTCAGCATGCCAATCATATGAAGCGGGTAACCAGAAGTGACCCTGAAATTGTTTTTGTCGGAGACACGATACTGTACCATTTGGGGCTAAACTCTGTCTGGAACAAAGTGTTTGCTCCTATGCACGCAGTTAACTTTAGTATCCCAGGCGATGGAACTCAGAATTTGTTGTGGAGAATACAAAATTGGGGATCCACGTCAGCCACTGGAGAAGCAATGGGTACTGGAGACGAAATGAAGCCCAAAGTTTTTGTCGTTCACGTTGGAACGGAAATGTATACTTATAATGTAGAAGAGGTTTGTACTGTTTCCATAAACCTGACAGAGGGTCTTACGTGTAAGCAAAATGACGTTGTTTGACAGTTTTCTTAGAGTAGTGTATTTGTCCTTTTCTTGTTGTTCCGACTTTCGAAGAAAGTGACGGAATATTTGTGCTCGGGGTGTTTTTTTTCTCCAGAGACCAATTTGACAGTTAAACTAGCCATTTTTGAGCACAATTTTTAAAATACCATCTTAAGGGCGTGACGTCCTGAGCTCCTGGACGATAAAAGATATTCCGTGCTATTAACGCGTATCGGTTAATTTAATTCGCTCATAAATCTTTCTAAATTGAATTAAAGCAAGCTGTTTGGTGTTATTAATATGTTACTAATTTTTGAACAGCATCACTTTGTTCTTGGCATAGCATATGGAGTGAAGTTTTCACAAAAAATCAGAATTTTTTAAATTTGTTTAAAATGCTTAGAAGCGTTTTTCAGTTGATGTTTTCCGAAACTATTTTAAACACATTATAGGGCAGTCGGAACGTTCAGGGCTTCGACCTGATACGAGCATTCTTGTATATTTTTCGTTTCAGATTGTATCAGGGATAGTTTCTGTAATGAGAGCCTTGTCGGAGAAGTATCCAAGATCCAAACTGCTTTTTATGGGACTGTTGCCCCGAGGACCCAAGCCTAATCGACTGAGGGTGAAAAATGATGAAATCAACAAGCAGCTCAGTGTATTGTTGACTGAAATTCCAAACTCAGTGTTTATGGACGTAGACGACTTAGACTTTATTCAATCAGGTAAGTAATAAATAAATACGAGAGCACTGATTGGATAGTCAGTAAGTCAGCCTTTTAAGTCAGAGATTGACAATTCCAAAAAATCCAAGTTGCCTTACGGAGTGCATATCTTTCAGTTCGAAATAAATTGCATTAATCACTGTCAATCTCATTAACTGTTAACTCAAGAACTCGTTGATGAAAAATAAGATCCGTGAATTTGTTTTTTTTTTGGTTGCAAGTTCATTTCTGCTTACGTGGTTCTTCGGTTGTTGAGTTAGGTAAATAGGCTGTTATGGTCTGATAATCATACGTGTAGTAGTAACAAGCCAACTTGGTGTTTTCTTTTAGATGGCCAAATAGACGAAGGCGACATGTCAGATTTCCTGCACCCAACTACTAGGTGCTACGAGACCATATGTCTCAAACTGTTAGAAGTGTTCAAAACGACTTTGACAGAGACGAATCTGCTGTTCCCTAACGAGTTAACAGATGCCTTCAAAGCATTAGTTTCGTCTGACGATGAAAAGTAGTCCTCAAATTGGGAGTGAAGTTAAATTTTAAACCTTAATAAGTAGTATGTGTTTGTCTCTAAATGGATGAGTGACTGTTTCTAGCACTAACGTGTTAATATTATTATTTTCTCTAAAGATTATTGCTGTAGCTTAACTTATTTTGATGTGGGTCAGAATCGGTCACCTGTAAAATATCTACCCTAAATTTTTGTTTTTCGAAGCTGAACCAATTTAAATAGTTGATCAATTTATGTCGAAAGACTTTGTTTTTAAACTTATTGAGTGAATTGGTGGTCAATAATGCCGATTTTTTTTTAAATTGTTTTTACAGAAGTTGAATCGACTGAAACGATGAGATTGTTTTTACTTGTATATTTGAATTTACTCATTTTTCTTTTTTTATCGAAGAAAAATGTCCAAAAAAATACGTATACTGAATTGCGGTCTTCAACCTAGATAGGATCTCAGTATCGATTGTTCTTTCGATATAATATGAAAGGAAAAAGCTAAACCATTGTCCATTTCATATAATATGTAGGAAAAAACCAAGATAAACGATAAATGTTTTGTGTTCATTTGAGTCGTCGTAGCTCGAGAATTCAATATTTGTTAGTCGTTTATCCTGCTACTAATCTGGATGACAGAGTCCCCTCAATTGGGTCTCTTGAATAGTCTTGTGGAGCGAATAGGGGTGAGCAGTGTTCAGAATAAGAACACGAGTAGCTACGGCAAGCAGTTTCTCCTCGACGGTTTGAACGAGACTTGTTGGAATTCAGATGCCGGGGACAGACAGTGGGTTAGGTAATATGATCATGCTATGTTTTTGGTATTTAAACCCATGTTGCCTGGTCTCATCCAGCAGCTGGGAACAAGTAAAGCCTGAAAGAAGGCCAGAAAACTTAGTGGCTATCATGTGCGAGTGGGTTGGGCCGATAGTTCACTACTATCTTCCAGCTTTCTGACGAGATGACTGAACTAGAAAAATCACTTAAAGTGCAGGCATAACTATAGTATCCTATTTATTGGCATAGTTATCCTCCTAGTTCTAATCGTTAAACCATTTTTTTACCGAGCTCTCATCATAGTCTCATTGGAATTTATCAGCGCACTTATATCAGCCAACGCGAAGACTTTATCAAGGAAATGTCGAACAAGATACTTCTGTATAATTCAATAATACAGTGGTTGCCTGTTTTCAAGTGTGCAAGAGCTAGGAATATGGGAATCATTGAAACTACCAACGCATTGAATTCATTTCAGAGAATCGAATTGGATAGAAAATATGCTGGCTTGAAGTTATTGGTGTAAAAAAAAAAAACATTTTTTCTTGAAAGTTGCTTAAACCGTCAAACAACTGAGCAATTTCTTCCACTAGCATAATTTGGACCGATGCGGTAATTATCATGATCAGTTAGCAATCAATTTTGAACATCAATATGCCCCTTGACTAAGAAAACTCATGATTTTTAAGTTTCAATGAACGTAGTGAAGACACTTATTTTGGTCGTATTGCTATTTTTTCAGGAAAAAGTTGTTCACGTTCAAATTTCTTTTTTCTCTTGCTTTATCTTCGGTTTATCGCCACAATTTTTAGTTGTTTGTTTTGTCGCCAGAGTGAATCATGACTTGAAAAAATAGTAAATTTTTTCAGTTATAAATTTTTCTGTTGGTGAAGCGTTATCATTTTTTCTCTTGGTGAAACGTGTATCTGCTCAAGAATTGTCGGCTTTGTAACCACTGCAAGTTTTGTTTCGATGCTTACTTCACATTCATTTGTTTTGTTTGCTCGCATACTTTCTTGTTAGGAATTAAAGACATATGTAGGAAAGTTTTGGAAGATATTTTTTGAATCTTTTTTCAAAGTTCTGCGGCTTTCGTCTCTATTTCCGTCGATCAGTTTGTCATGCTATGTATCTGTTGAAATGTATGTTGTGCGAAGCCTTGCTTTGCCTCTGCTTGCCGGTAATTCAGTTCCGAAATTCGTTTTTTTTTTTGGAATTGCTATAATTTTTTTTGAGAAAAAAAATCTGATTTGTCGGTTCACCTGCAAGTAGTGATGGTCATTCAGTTTTGTATCGCATGTGACTCGTATTATTGGACCTAATATTGGACTCATATCGACTTACCATAATTTTAAAATGCATAACTTCCGGTAATTAATAAAGCATTATTCGTTATAAAATTTCACAGTAATTGCGACAGAATTGGAAGCTTAAGCGTTTAAATTGTATAATCAACATTAAATTTTTTAAAATGAAACTAATTAAAGTTTTCTTTTAACTTAAAGAAAGAAAGAGTTTTTTTGTCCAGTATAAAATTACATCGTTCATCAAACAATACAATTCACAAAAACTTCCATTATTTCAACAAAATTAATTTTTACGTTAATTTTATGAAAGGAAAAAAAATCCAGGAGAGGATAAGCGAAAGGCATACAAGATGCCCATTTGGAGCCTACCCTTGAACATCATTGCAGTCAGGCAATTTAACGAATCAATGATACATATTACAAAAAGTAAAACATATAATATAAAAAACCATAAATAAGTTACGTATTTCAGTTTTTTTTAATGAAAAATTCCAACAAATAGTCAATCTTAGAGAACGAATAGCAACAAGACAATCACAATTTCAGTCTTGTTGCCATAATCTGCACAAAAATCAAAATAAGCAAGAAATCACTCAGAAAAAGTGTAATAAAATCAAAAAGAAAAACCATAATCATTTTTTGAGAAAAAAAATCAAATTCAGAGGCCGGATAGCACACAAAAATAACCAATACGAACTTACAATCAACCATTTGCTCTTGAAACAGAAATAATTAGAACAAAAAACAAAAAAAAATTAGTAAATAAAGTTAGTTTTTATTTTTAGCACAAAAATGGAAATTTGATTTTTGCATATATTCCCTAAATTCTCCGGCTGCAATCTATTTTCACGCAAGATTTTAAGAAGCTCTGACCCACGGTTCTGCACTGATGCAGACTTGGTTTTCTTAGAACAAAAAGGTTTTTTTAATGTGGAATGAAGATCTCCTGGTATTATAAGTGGATTTACATTCTATAAGAAAACTCTTTAATTTTTTGATAGCAAATTGCTGACTGATTGGAGACAAAAATTAAGCAAATCATAAACGATCAGTTCATGAACCGATAAAATCCCATTATACTGAAATTCATTGAAATGCTATCAAACTTACGCTTGAACTACATGGTTCTGAAAGTTTTTTTTTCTGCAAAAGCAGAATGGAGTTAGGATTTATGAACGATGTGCATCCATAAACATGCAAACCATATTGAATAATTGGTTTTGCATTTGAATTGTAATACTTAATCAAAATTGACCTGGGTACAAATTATCAAAAGATATTCATGACTGCATGAGTTCATTATTCTCATCAGCATATTAGCCTCCGTTTCTGTATGGGCATGAATCAGCTGCTGTGATACTGGATATGACTCCGAATGAAATCATGGCATCCGATGGTCTTTTAGCAGCTACACGAGCTGGCGCGTATCGTTTTTAAACATATGAACTTGAGCCTTGCTTTTTAATTGCATTTTGCTTGACATCTTCCAATTTTCAGGCATCCTTGTTAAACAAAACTAAGAGTTTCGTTGAGTTACGAAGGCAAAGAAGTTTGGGAAAAACTGGGATTTGTAATTGTGTATTTTTAAAGAGCTGCAAACTTTCAGTTTTTGACATTATAAAATTACCCGAATATTATTTCGGGAGTAAAAAATCCCCCCGGGGCGAATAAATTCTTAGATCCGGCTATCGTTGGATTCGATTTTATACGGGAATTTATATACAGATGACCGAACCTAATAGTGTAAATCTCCCAAATTGCATATTTTTACACTTGCGATATTAAATTGCTGCCCATTATTTTTATTTGACATTAAGTAATCGAATCATCAACGCACTTGTTTACTCCAACTTTGAACTCGTGTTATTATTGGGAATACAGCCGAGTCGTATTTGCTAATAAGTGTCTAAAAATCCTCCAAAAATAAGAAATTGTGTTTTAGTTTGTCTTTTTCGCAGCCGGTTCTAATATCGAAATTAGAAATACGATTCCAAGGAGGGTTCAGCGGGAAAGACAACTCGACTTTTGTCATTTTGAATGAAGAGCTGAAGCTACCTATTCATCCTGTTGACGCGAACACGATTCAGTCGTTTGAGTTACCTGAAGTTGAAATTGCAACCGAGAAAGTGAAGATAGTTTTTTCAGGCAGTACTGATTTTTACGGGAGAATTGTTATTTATAACCTTAATTTATATGGCAAAACCAAATAAATATTTCACAATTTTTATTTCATTTTATTCTAACAGAGTGAGATGATATAAACTATATGTAATCAGTATGTTATTTGAATACTGATTATTTCAGATAGATTGCTGACAAGTTTGTCAAAACGCCTTTGGTGTAATCACTCACAGTCACACATAGTTGGCCACAATACAATTCCCTTAGAAGAAGAAGAAGTCACATTACAATGTCTAGCACAGCAGCACCTCCAGTAGCCAAAAGCATCTCAGATGTCACAGAAGAAATAGTGAAAAACGCAACCACTGGGTAAGATTTTTCAGATTCAGTGAATGAAACTATTTTTCAATTATTCAGTCGTTTTTTTGGATAGAAAATCTTTAATTTTTTCTTGATCATTTTTGTATGTTGGCTGTTTGACTTCTGATTTTTAAAACTCACTTCTAGGAAGGGAATTTCAAGTTTTTTGTTGCCAGTGAGCTAAAGAAATTGCCTTTAATCCAGGTTTCAAAAATAAGGTTAATTTTATCAAAAAAGTGTCAAAACTAATTGATTCTTGAAACTCAGAGCTTTAGGCTGCTATAATTGTTTCTCGAAGACTGTTTTAAAAAATATTGCAACAAGAATCAATTGTAATTTTCGGTTTCCTTGATTGCATTGATAATGTTCTATCTGTACATCGGCTAGAATGTACAAATTGGTTGTTGTATACATGATATAAGCTGTTTAAGTTATTTTTTTTGCTTACGTTTTCAATTACCAGGCGTTACCAAACTGGAGCACACACTTTTTTTCATGTAAACGACGTTTCATCTACAATCTGTCATGGTAGATGAAGGTGTCGATGTATCTATTGAAGACTTTTAAATAGGTCGTGATGATTTTTTTCAGGAAAAGTCTTAAAATTTGTTTTAGGCTCAAATTTGATTTTCCGCATTTTGCCATTTGACTGTTTATTGCTTAAGTTCAATTCATTCCCTTTTTTAAAAGAAGGCAAACTCCACTTTCGAACAGCTAAAGTGTAAAAGCCATCAAAAACGTGATTGACTTCTAGTTTTGAAAGTGGATTTCAGTTTTCAGATTTCGCAGCGGAAAAAAATGCTTCATGATCTACAGTGCTGATTTAAATTAACCGGACAAAACGCGTTAAACTTGAAGTTTAAAACCCGTTTTCCTCAAATTGGGTGAAAATTGCTAAAAGTGAAAATTTTTGAAGACAAAATTTGCTTAAATTTTAAGCAGAATTAATATGGTGCAATTTATTTTGCGAAATTCGGGCCCAAACTTTTACCCCAAAAATGGGTCATTTTGGCTTTTCTTAGTTAATCAAAAATTACGCCGAAAATACCCAGTCGATCACAGGCATACTTATATCAAAGTGAGCCCCTTACGTAGCCCAACAAACATTATGGAGGGTATTTTCTCCAAAAAAATTGCAAATTGTTTAAAAAATGTTTTCAAATAAAAAGTTGGTATTTTATATAGTAAACACGACCTTTCTTGTCTATCAAACAAAAATAAATTAACTTATACAATTTTTTGGAGATTATACCCTTCTTAAAGTTTGTTTGGCTATGTAAGGGGCTCACTTTGATATAAGTTTGTCTGTGATCGACTGGGTATTTTTGGCTTAATTTTTGAATAACTAAGAAAAGCCAAAATGACCCATTTTTGGTGTTAAATTTTGGGCCCGAATTTTGCAAAACAAATTACACCATATTAATTCTGCTAAAATTTTAAGCAAGTTTTGTCTTCATAAGTTTTCACCTAAACTCAATCCAATTTGAGAAAAACGCGTTTTAAATTTCAAGTTTAGCTCGTTTTGTCCGGTTAACTTAAATCAGCACTGTATTTTTAAGAGTAATGAACGTAGTGAGTACTCTTAAATATGTCTTGGTAATATTTTCTTTTTTTTCAGGAAAAAGTCCTATAATTTGTTCACGGTCAAGTTCTTTTTTTTCGCGGTTTGACTTGTGATTTCTTTTTAAGTTCAGTGCATTTCTATTGTTAAAAGGAAGGCAAAATCCACTATCGAACAGCAAAGTTATAAAAGTCGCGAAAAACGTGATTGACTTCTAGTTTCGAAATTGGATTTCAATTTTCAGATTTCGCAGTGGAAAAAAAATGCTTCATGATCTATCTATAATAGTTATGAACGCAGTGAGTACTCTTAAATATGTCTTGATAATTTTTTCTTTTTTTTTCAGGAAAAAGTCCTAAAATTTGTGCACGGTCAAGTTCTTTTTTTTTTCGCGGTTTGACTTGTGATTTCTTTTTAAGTTCAGTGCAATTCTATTGTCAAAAGGAAGGCAGACACTATCGAACAGCTAAGTTGTAAAAGTCGCGAAAAACGTGATCGACTTCAGTTTCGAAAATGGAAAATAGTTATCAGATTTTCCAGCGAAATAAAAGGTTTACCTATTGATCCAGTTTTCTCAAATTGGGTTAAATTTAACAAAAAGTGTCCATCATAAATTGATAAATTGTTCCACAAATTCAAAGAGCTTTAAGGTCATTTAGTTTTTTCTCCGAAATTCAAAAGTTTCATTTTTTTTCAGTTCCTTGCGTTCATTATTCTTTCCCAACTTTCAGTTGGCTATGTTTTTTGTTTAGATGCGTTCATTGACTCTTTTCAAACTGTTTGGTGCTATCTTTTTTCCCTACGAATCCTCAATACAAACCATTTCAGGTACGAGCCAGGTAGCTACCAGTACATGGCAGTTGAGAAGATGACTAGACTGTCAATATACGCCTTCACTGAGCCCTGGGAGTTCCTCCTCAACCTCCTCCTAGTCCTCACACCTCTGATGGCTGTGGCCGCATTCTGTGCCTATAGACTCAGCAAGTCATCTCACAAAAAGGGCAAAAAATCAGCTGCCAGACCCAACTCGACCTCATCTTCCTCGTCTGGAAAACCGGAACGACAGATGCCACCACGAGCGGCGAAGAAGTCCAAAAAGGACAACTGAACTGAGTCTCAAAAACGACATTAACAACAGCGAATTAGTTGTTGCTGATGGCACATCGTCTGATTTCAGGGTTTGATTTGTAAACTGTGATTTTTTGGATCAATTAGGCTCAAATTTGAAGCTAGTTTTATTGAATTAAACCAGCCCATTTTAATACATGATGCGCATATACTTAACTAGAGGTTTATTTCTTTGTTGGTTTGGTTATTTTTTTCTGCTATTTTTCACTTGGATCCGCTGCAGGACAACTTGTTTAATTGATCCTTAAATTTTTCGTGTTGGTCTTCAATTACTTGAGTATTTCATTTAATGGCGTTTATAAGCCTTTTTTGCGAGATGGTTCTACTAATGAGTTCTTAACGATGGAATTGCGCCGTTTTCCGTCAACTCATGTGCAATGTGTGTTACTAATTTGACCCCCCGATTCTATCAAAATTGCAGTGTTCTACTTTTAATACTTCTCTATATCACTTCGAAACATTCAATTTAATAGAACGGCGTTATTTATTAGTCTGAATTGCTGATTCCAAATACGTATACTGGGAGTTTCAATGAAATTTGTTTTATTTTACCTTGACTTAAGGATGCTAAGATTCAGAATCTTTTTGGAATCCGAAATCTCTATTTGGAGTTTTTAATTTAAATGGTATTTTTTTTTATTGTTTCATGAATAGATTTGCATATTTTTGCTTTCACGTGAAAATAATAGATTCCAATTTGACTACTTAGATTTCAATTTGATGCCGCTTTTTATGCTTTAGTTTTTTGTTTGTTTCTTCAATCTCGTATTATTCACAGTTCAATTGATTTGCTTTTCAGACAAGACAGAAATGTAGTTTTTTAAGCTCAGTGATGACCATTTAAGTGACTTTTAAAGCCATTAAACTCATTTAAGGGAAACATTTTCTTAGAGAATTTTTGAAATATTTTAAATCAAACTAATCGTTCAGTCGCTGTAATCGAGTTTGGATACGTAGTCAGATTTTCTGTTTCTAAAACAACATTTTTTCTTTGAAAAAATGATTTTTTACTTGAAATTGGATTTTCTGAACCTTCCCTGGCCAAGCCACGTGCTTTAGCCCTTTCAGTTCATAGATCTTAGCTCTTGTCTCGTGAAGGTTTGAGTAACCCTAAGTTGTAGTCATTCATATGTGATTTTTGAATTTTCAAAGAAAAAGATCCCTCAAAGGATGTTCTGTGAAAGGATTGGGCATTTAAAATCTAACTAATCTTTTAAAGCGTTTAAATGGTCATCTGTGGTATTCTAAATTTATTTTCTCAAAAGTTAGGCTTTAAATCTTGCCTGTAAATTTAAGGTAGTTGAATGCGAAAACAACAAAACTGCTTTGGAATTCTCCGTGCATTTAATGGGGGATATTATATAGCTTCAGGAAATGCGGTACTGACTATAAGAAGCGAAAATGGGTAAGCCTCATCGGATCATGGTCGTAGGGGCGAAGAACGTGGGGAAAACGTCACTGATTCACGAACTGTTATATTGCTCAATTTCAGAAGACAAGCAAAATGTAAGTAGATGTTTGATAAGATTAGAAAAGAAAAAAAGTTTTTTTATCCCGATTTAGTCCTCATTTAGTACCGACAAAAAAGAAAAAACTTCTTATCTGATTTATTAATTGAGAAGCGCCTGGTTATTAGAGAAATTTTAGTTAAAAACCCCTGAACTTTTTTTTGCCTTACAGAAAAAAAAGAACGAAAAATGCATGCTATGTTTGTCATGAATAAAATTGATTGAGAGGCGGTGAACGTAGTGAAGAATCTTATATAGGTCGTCAGGAGTTTTTTGTTTGTTTTTTCAGGAAAAAGTTGAAAAACTAATTCATGCTCAAATTTGATTGTTCGCGTTTGAATTTTGATTTTTTCAGTTCACTTTTTGAGCAAACACCACAATCGAACCGCAAAAGTGAACAGGTCACGAAAAACGAAATTTTCTGAATGGCCAGCGGAATAAAAATCTAGTTTTCTGTAAATGAAATAATTTCACGAAAAAAAGCTAGTCATAAACTATTGGAAATTTAAAGAGCTTTAACATATGTTTTTTTTCTTCAAAAAATGAAAAATGTTCGAAAGTTGAAAATTGTTCTCGCTATGGTTGAAAGTTTGGACTGAAATGATGGCGTGTTTTTTTGTTTTCAATTCAATTCTTGGAATTTGTTCTTGCTCATTTAATTAGTTAATGCCAAATTGTTGGTAATATTAGTTACCATTTTATTTGGTCAAAGCATTTTGGGTCAATTTTTTGGACATGTTTTTACTTGTGAAAAACTGAAATTTGACGTTGAAATGAACAGTTTTAGGTTAATTAACTTCGTTCAGATTCGTTTACCGAAAAGATATTACCAACAATTTGGCATTAACTATATTATAGAGGTTTGACGTTTCACATTTTTTCAGATCTGGCTTCAAATTGTTTATGGTCTTAAAGTTGTGACAAGCATAATTTAACGTCAGCAACACTTCTAACTGTGTTATTTTTTTTTGTCCCAAGAAAAAGTTTGTGAAAAAAGTTTTCCTCAAAAGTTAGTGAAAAGTATATTTGCTGCAATTTAATCTGTCTTGGTCTACCGCATTTTGAAATCAGATTTCGAGGTGCCCTGAGCCAAAGCAAAATACTATCAAGAGCCTAAGCAAATAACTAGCAAGAACAAATATCTTTAGTCAGAAAAAGTACTGAAATCACACTTACGAGAAGTCACACTTTGTGCTCTATAGATATAACTCAGCTGTGTTGGATATTATAACAGCTTTATTGTTTGTATACGAGCAAAAATAATTTTCCGGAGTTCGCTTTTTTCAACCGATCTCAAAAATATGGTGCTCAAATGCCGGTGTTTTGCTGATACGGCATATACAATTGAAAGGCATCTGTTTTATTTACTATATTGGTGAATAGTGTTTGAAGTTTGTCCTTCGACCGTGGCGCAGATGCCAGGACGTGAGACTCTTTATATCCAGGTCGATCGTTTCTCCGGTACATATCAAAAGTTTTGTTATCATATCATTTCCAATTAAATAGCATCTTTTGTATCTGCTATGCTCGTTGTTTAGGTTTGAAGATTGTCAAACGACCATGGCGCAGATAATATGATCTTTAGGGCGAGGATTTGGTTCCGGCACGAGGCCAAAATTTAATTTTTTTTCTAAACCTTTCTATAGCTGTTTTTTTGTCGTTTTTCCAATTCTTTTTGCGAAGCGCTCCTTTGCCTCTGTGTGTAAAAAGGAATATTTTTTAATTGTTAGAGGCCTAACAATTAAGTGGGACAGCGAATAGCAGGAAGGGCCATGCGTTCGAATCTCACTTCGGTTACGGTTGGAGGGGTCCCGGTGTCATCCGCCTCCTCAAGGTGGGACCCGTTGCGGCGAAATGGATGACATCCCCCTCACCCATGGTTGGTCCTGCACTGAGCAGGACCGGGGGCGAATAAAAAAGCCTCTACCTCTGTATCTGCAATTTCAGTGTTATCATATCATATTTAAATTTCAGTTTTTATCATTTATCAAGCTATCAGGTTTTTTTGAATTAAACCACATTTATTTGCCCAATCCATTTGTCTTACTAAATTTTTATTAGACTGCTTTTGATTCCAATAAAAATTATGCTTGATTACTCAAACTGACTGAAAACATGAGATTTGAGAAAGCGTTTCATTTAATGGGGAGGCAGCTCATTTCGAATTACTCAGGAACATCTGATAACCAGCAGCCATATGATGAATTTGTTCTTTTGTTCTGTAACGAATCGTTTTTGTAACGATTCTTTGAAAACCCGAAAGTTGATTTCGGGCAGACACATCTTACATGTTTTAACACGTAACAACACACTCGGATATATTAAAGTTTGGTAGTTAGTATTGCCTTATGTTGCTGACATATTATGGAGAAAGTAGCGGGCCCAGAATAATGCCTTACGACACACACTCTATAACCTTCAACCAGTCCGATTTAACATCATTAAGCATTACTAACGGTTTTTAAGAGCTGATGAACGTAGTTCAGACACTTCTATAAATCGCGGTGACTTTTTTTAGAAAAACTTAAAATTTGTTCAGGCTCAAATCTCTTTCGCGGTTGGATTTTTGATTTCTTTTCAAGTTCAGTTCAGTTCTCTTGTTAGAACCAAGGCAAACTCCGCTATCGAACAGTAAAAGTGTAAAGGTCACGAGAGAAAGTAAAGGTCACGTTTCGAAAGTGGAATTTAATTTTCAGGTTTCCCAGCGAAATAAAAATTTTACCTATTGATCCAGTTTTCTCAAATGGGTCAATTTTATAGAAAAAGTTCCAATCATAAATTGTTCTACATATTCAAAAAGATTTAAGGGCATCTATTTTTTCGTTGAAATTCAAAAGTTGAGATTTTTTCTAAAAACAAGTCGGTATTTTTTTAATTGCGTTCATTTACTCTTTTCTAACTGTCTGTTGGCTGTGTTTTCTATTACAGGGAAATTTTTTAAGCAATGATCATGGTTATTTATCAAGTCATATAAACAGTATTTTTCTATACCTACGTACGGCCTTTGTTGTCAAAAGCTTTAGATATATTAATAAAACATATCATAGAGCAATTTTTTTATTGAAAACGGGTTTTGTTCCGACCATTGAAAATGGGTAGGATTTTTGTATTCGGGTGTGTTTTAGTTGTTTTTGTTTTCTACTTAAAATCAAGTACCACAAATAATCATCGGAATGAGTCAAATGATATATCGTATAGAACCGCTCTTAGTCGTGATTCGAACGACCTTTAAAATTTTCAAAAAATTGTCCCAGTATCGAGAAAAACAGGTTCAAAACTTTGATTTTTTTCTGCAAAAACTATTGTCTGATTTCTTTGTTTACTATGTCTGTACAATATGCAAGTTTCGTTTTTGTTTATGACTGGTCGGAACATTCTGTGCTACTTGCACAGTAACCGGCCATCCTCGTTTATATTTTCAACCATACAGATTAGTGCATCTGTGCATGATGATCGCCTAATTGGATCGATCACCAAATTTTTTACTCAAGTAGTTAAAAATGATTCTGATCTTGCATCAGTTTTTCGAGTACTTTGGCTAGTGCGCTCGTAGCAGATACGATCTTACAAATTTTGAAATCATATTTTTGCCTGTTTTTTATTTATTGGTGTAATATTTTTCAATTTAAGTTTTGCGGGATGTTAATACTGGCCAGCTGAATTGTTTTAAGATTTCTTGATGGTTTTAGAATTTTTATCACAAGCTAACAGTTTTTATTCATGCCAGATTGCAAAGGTATTTAAAGGTTGCACAAACTTCACGCTATCATAAGCCATCTAATAAAATCGTAATGTTATAGAGCTCTGAGCACTGCCGCAGTCCTGAAGACTTCTACGAAATGATCTTCGAGTTGACCCCTGACCCCGCGACCCAAACTACAAACCTTAATTACAACAACCAATCAAACAACAACAACAATAGTAGTATCAAATCTCCTTCATCAGCTAACACTGCACATATCAAAGACAATGTTCGTCTTATTGACACGGAGGGCATTCGAGGAGGCGCAGCTGAATTGCCGAAGTATTTCATGGCGAGAACGAACAACAGTAGCAGCAGTAATTCGGATTTTGTAAATATAGACGGTGTAATTATTCTGTACAGTTTATACAACTACAATTCATTCCAGCTGGCCACAAGCCTGTACGCAGAATTTTATCGAAAGAAAGACGTGAGTAGCTGTATGGCTTTTGTGACGATCGTGAAGACATCGTAGCATTTTTTAATGGATACTAGTATTGAAATGCAAAAGAAAGCTCATGTATTAATGAAATTTCATACAAATTTACAATACAGTTTTTGGTTAGCTTTCGAAAGAAAAAGATTTGAGAAAAACCAAAAAATCAATGACGAGAAATCTTGTGAAAAATTTCGGAAAAAAATAAATTTCTTCAACTTATCTGCTGTTTAGTCAAAAAATGTATTCCCTCTGATGCTCCTGGGCATGGATTGGGACTACAGTGATGACTCATCCTCCTCGCCACTAACGCCACGAGCAAACGATGACGTCATAGTATCACAGCAGTCACGTGACAGTAGTGGCGAGTTTAAGGACGCGATGAAAAAGAGGGCGAGGCAAGTGTCCCCATCAGACATATCGAGCTGGGTCAACAAGAGTAAACTGTTTTCGTCTTCGAGTACAAACAATACCCTATCGCATTTCGAAGTGTGTCTTCATAATAGAGACCACCTTTTGAGTTGCTTCACTCATTTCATATCAAAGTTCCACACAAATACTAAAACTGGTTTTGTTCTGCCCGGCTTCAGGAAAAAGTAATTATCACTTATGGTTTGACTAGCATACAATTGAGGCCATAGTTCTTTTGATTTTTCTATTATAAAAGTATTCTGATGATAGAAAACTTGGCGAAAAAACTTGAAGGGATATTTCAAACAAATAGTTTTTTAACGTCGATTGACGAAGATTTGGATGAATGAGACCAATGAGTGGCCCATATCTATAGATAAGCTATTAACGTTATTTGAAGCATCAAAGCAAACACAATTTAGATACTATTATCAACTTTTAAGTTGCATTGAAATGGCTAAGAGTGTAACAATGAAAAGGGCACAATTTATTATTTAAAAATTTATCGATAGCACATAGATGTTATTTAGAAATTGAATTTCATATTTGTTTACAGGGGCGGATCTAGGATTTTCTCGAGGGGGGGGGCGGATTTTCAAAAAATTTTCCAAAATTTTGACGACCTTTTTTTTTTTAGGTCGACCAAATTGATTTTTCGAGCTCTCCCAAAGCACTGTTTAATTAGTTTTTTTGTCTATTGTTCGTTATAGTTGTACTAGATGATTTCCATAATTGTAATTTACAAATTATATTTATCTTTCTTGTTCGAAAATTTTGAAATAAAAATTAAATACTTTCTTCTAGCGATGACGAAAGCCATATCGTGTAATTTTTCGATAAATGAGAAATCATGATAAATCACATCATTCGCCGAACATGTAATATAGTGTTCAAAAAGTTATAATGAAAATCAGGATTCATGAATTGAAAGTATTAGCTCCGATTAACTTATCATTTTTGATTTCAGGGATTGAAACATGGCTACAGAAAAAGAAGATGAAATATATTTCAGAATCCCGAAGGTCGCAAACAGGGCTTAAACGTGCCGGGCCATAGCTTCAAACATGGTTGCAGATCTTGTTGATCAATTTAAGGAACAGTTCAAAGAAGACCGAAACGATTCAAATCAAAATAAAACTCCTTCAAAGTCTATCTCTATCTTTAGCACCACATTACACCCCAATTTAACTTCTCAGCTGGATGAAAATGGTCATTTTTTAAACGAGTCAAGTTCAACTGGAGTTAGTCACATTACGGGGTCAAGTAACAGTTCAAACGATGTGAGTGTCTTAATAATTCATTACAATAGGGACGCATTTTGGTCTCTTGCTTGCTTATCTGGACTACTTTTCGTGCTATTTGCTGCAATATACCTTTCAAAGTTATGGAAACCAGAAAATCAAGCAGTGCCATTGCATATAATGAAAGCAGCCTCAGAACAAGGGGGCGATATAACAAATATGGCCAAATCGATTAACAATTCGAAAGTTGAAAGAAAAAGTTCGCTTTGTGGAAACGAACGAAATATTACAAGCTCAGACGAGTTTACAGATATGGAAAGAGAAGGAGATTTTCAGTCTGAAAAGTGGAGCGAGCGGGAATTTATAGCGAGCATCTCGAGGCCGAGTTTAGTAGACGAAGTGCAGAAGATACGAAACATGGTGTCGAATATGCAAGTGTCCTCAAACTTTAAAGCAAAGCTGAAAGGGGTGCGAGATAAAGTGCAAATAAAATACTCTCGTTTAAATGTCGAAGACGAAGAATAAAAAATGCTTAAATTATCAGAGTAGATTCAGATTATTTTTATTGCCCTGGGTTTAATCATTATCCCGTTTTAATTTATTTATTTGGACGAGTTTTTCCTGCTTCAGTTTTCCGATTTCTACCTAGAGATTAGGTTTTTCAGATGTCAAATTAAAAGGGCGATGTCTTAAGGGATCCCATAGGAGTTTTCTTTACCATTATAATTATGGATTTTATTATTACTCATGCATTAAGTAAGAGTGTTTCAACCGGATACTAGACTTTTTCTCCGTGAACAGATTACAAGATTTCACACGTGAAAGTTTCAACTTGCTTCAAAATATCCTGAATCGAAGTGAATCGGCTATGCTATGCAGCGCGTCTTCTGGCGTAGAGGTGACACGCGAGCTTGAGACGAGAAAAGCTTGTGGTTCGAATCCGACCGGAACTAGAAATTTTCTGTTTAGTCTGACTATTGTTCCTCTGTTCATTTTTTTCGGCTTAGTTCCCGTATAACAGACTCTTTTTGAAGGTTCAGCTTTCTTCTTATTTTCTGAATGCCATTTCTAAAGCCCCATCGGTAGACTTAATTGTGTTACATTTTTTTGTAGGGACTTTCAGTAAAATGCTCGCGATTCGCAGGTGAAAACAATTGGGAACGTAGACTTTTTTGTGAACAACTCGTCTAAAAAAAACCGAATAATTTTTTCTCAAATCTTCCATTTTTTAAACCAACATATTTTTTTTTAGCATTTCGGCATTTAAACTACCCGTTGAATTCTTTTTTAATGTTGAATTCTATATTAACAACTTCGGTTTGGTATAGTTTCCGTTTTTATTTTTGTGTTTTCTCGGCTTAAAAGTTAATCGGTCTATACCTTATCGGCTTAGTGACATCACATTGCGTCATTGGATAAGCGAAACAAGTTTTTTTATGTTTAAGGGTTTTAGGCGGGTAATGTCATTATCAAAAAATTTTCAATATTTAATGAAAACATTTTTTTTGGTCAACGGGTGTCTGCTCAAAAAATGCCCGCTTTGTTACCGCTCCTTAAGCTTTGCTTCGATGCAAATTTAATTGCTTAATTGTATTGTTTGGCGAGTTTTGTTCAAAAACTGAGTTCAATTAAGTCAAATTGAGGCAAAGATATAAAAATTTAAGTAGGTCTTGCTTTTCTGGACATTTTCAAAAACGTTTTTTTAAAATTAAGTGGCTTTCGTCTCAATTTCTGTCTGCCATTTTGTCTGTGAAAAAGACATTTTTGGGAGCTAGAAAAAATATTTTCAATGCTGAAAAATTGTCGTCAGCATTAAATTTTTAAAATGTTATGACAATTTTACTTTTATGGATTTTTTGATTACATTTTGGCATGATCTTAATCAGATTTCTTGAAGCTTAGGACTAGCAAGCGTTATGAAATCGGAATATAGACTTTTTTGTCTGTCCATCTTTTGTCGTTTTAGTTGCCACATAGCTGACTTTTTGTGCTGAATGCAATTTCATTTTAATTGATTTTTTTTTTATTAATTCGTTTAGATTGGAAATCTTCGGGCCCTCTGAATTTGTATGTTTTTTTTTCAGAATATATATGAATATTTTTTCAGCATTTATGGTTTTAAAGTAGTGACCTTATTTTGCTTTGTTCGAAAGGAAAAACTGTCAGCCGATTTTTTAAATGTGATTTTTTTTTCGGCTTAGCTGCTGCTATATAAATGTTTCCAAATGAATATTAAATGACGGCGATTGTGTTGCTGAACGTTTTTTCCCTCAAATTATAACCATCTTTTGAGACAAGCATTTGTATTTTTAGTGACATTTCCCACAGAAAAACGTTTTTAGCGAAAAAGTTTCTTACTGGGTGGCTTCCGTTTCATTTTGTCTGCTAGCATGCAATGCTAATATCTCTGTGTCCGCCTGTGTATCCGAAATTGGGGGACCCCCTGATAAATATGAAACCCCCGCTCTCGCAAAGAAAATGCGTTTGTTGTACAAAGCATGTACAACCACTCGCCAGTAGTTTTCGACTCACGCGAGTTACGTACTGTAGAATAACGCACTTGCTCTATGAATTTGACAATTTTCGCGATGGTAACACATTTATCTTTACTTTATCAGTGATCCTGAACGTAATTTTAAACTTCATAAAACAAAGAGGAGTAATATTTTAAAAGTTTCCTCTTTATTTTGAAAATGTACCAAACACGAGCTTAAATTATTTTTAAGACCTTTAAAACTACTTATCCTTACTTGACCATAATTAGTGAAAAATCAATTTGTTAATCTAAGGATTTGAGCGTTCTCGGATCGTATAGCCTTCTCGGGACTATCAGAAACGAATAACTGTAAAACAGATTCTTTTGCAGGAAAGTTTAAAGATTGACATGAGTTTGGGAAGCTGGATCGAAATGAGTGTTTTACCCGAAGTTTTTCCCCGAAGTGCTAAAATAAAAACTTCAGTTTTTCCCCGGATTACTTCAGATTTTTCCCCGGGGTTGAAATTTTCGAAGGTTTTACCAAAAATGATTTCCAGCTTTAAATTGAAGTGTACGATTTGGAATTTGGTTTTGTAGTTTTCTGCGAAGTTTTTTTTGTTTGCTCTTGATTCGAGGCACTATGGTTATTTCAATTTTTTGTGTGAGGTGTCAAAAATAATCAAGCATCTATTTTTATGCGACAATAGTCTCCAACACCTTAAAATGTTTTTTTTTCCGAGTTTTTTTTTGTTCGTCTAGTTTGTTTCGTGAATTTCTTTGGAATCCGACTCGAAAGAGCTGGTGTCAACCAGGCCTTTCTTAGGGATAAATTTTTTAAAAGATAACAAATATCGCTAACTCTAAATAATGGCTGATTTTCAGTCCGATCACTAAGTGGGAAAGAACTTTCTCATCTGGTGTTTCAAATTTTTTCCCCTCGTAAATCAGGTGTCAAAAATATTAATCATCGGATTGGGTCGAGGGATGTATCATATTGAAGCACCTTTAGTTTTGATTCTAACGACATTGAATATTTTCAGAGTTTTTAAAGTTTCCTCAAGAACTGTTTTGAAATTTTTTGATTTTAGTAAAAATTCTAGCAAATTTAGCGAGTAGGCCTATAATAGTACGATAATCTTTGTTCAAGTCACAAGCATCTTTTTTACTCCAGTAGATTGAGTTTTAACTCTTGCGATGAGCAAGGGTATTGCATTCCAGTACTTGACTTTTTTCCCTTAATTACTTTGTTCACAGAATGGTCAAAATTAGAAATGGTAAATTAAGGTTCAGTTCATGATAAATTCATATTTCTTTGCGTCTCCGGCACACTTGGTCTGGTGGTAACGAATACTCTTTGGAGGGCAAAGGTATTGGGGTTGAAATGCTTTGCCCTCCAAAGCGTATTCGTTACCACCAGACCAAGTTCGTTACCACCAGACCGTTTCAAAAAAAATTGTCGGCTTATTTGTCTGCTAATGTTTTGTCGGCTTAGTTGGTACATCGTTGTTTTTTTTTTGCTGTACACAATTTACATTGTTGTTGCTTTTAAAATTATGATTTTTCTGCTATTTGTAGTTTTAATAACCTTGGTTTTGCTTATTTTTTTCGCTTTAAAACTTTATTCTGTCCAACTGATGTCGGCTTATTGACCTAATTTTGAAGAGTTTCAAGAACGAAATAATTTTTATGCTTCCCACTGGACCGCAGAAATCTTAATAGAGTTTGTTCCGCTTGATAGGTTTCGGTGTGTGTTTTGAGGATGAGGGGGACTTAATAACTTTTAATCAGTCATTTTTTTCCGCCGTAAAAGTTTTGCTTCAGCCTTATAGGTTTCAGCTTTTCATCGGCTTGGTGACCTCATTTTGTTTCTTTGACGAGCAAATGTAGTTTTTAGTGTTTGTGTTTTGAGGCTGAGTGGGGCTTAATAACTTTTTATGTCTTAAGTCTTTTTGATTTTTTTTCGGCTTCTAAGGTTTCTTTTCTGCTGTATTACCGCGTAGTAGTTTT